TTTATTATAATTATATTTATATTTATTATTCTTTTCTGCTGCAGATCATCACTCTCCGTCTTCTCAAGCTGAAACTCTCGAACTCGCTTCACCAAGTGGAGGGTAAGATAATATTTTTTGTTTTTGTTTGTTCTTTAATTAATATAATATAAAATTATATAATCTAATTATAATTATAGAATATAATAATAATGATAATAATAATAATAGGGTGTGCCTTTAGAATAATATTTTATTGTTTTAGTTTCATGCATATATTAATATAATATTAATATTAATGATAATGTAATGTATAATATAATATAATATAATATAACATAATATAATAAATATTATATTTATAATATGTTGTTTATAATGCAGGAGAAGACATGTGCGTATAGCTTCTCTTTCTTTCTTAGAGTCTTCAGCGCATGCAAATGCAGAAGAAGAGAAAGAAGAAGAATAATAATTAAGTTAAATACTTTTCTTCTTCTTTCGTCAATGCGCAGGGCCCAGGGTTATATATATATATATTATATATTATATATATACGTTTTATTATATATGTTTATATATAATATTGTATATATGTACACATATATACATACATATCCATATATATATATATATTTATATATTTATATGTATTATGTATATTGTGTGTTTATATACATATATATATATATATATTTACATATATGTCTATATACACAAAAGAATGAGAGTGATGAAGATAATTACTGCAAATATTATTATTATGAAGTTAAATAAAAAGAAGAATAATTTCTTGACATCGTAGTCTCTCTGAAGTGTATAGGCAGCTATGATGCTGCACTTTGCTCTGCATATGCTAATAATAATAATAATAACAGTAATAATAGTAATGATAGTAATAATAATAATAATAATAGAAACAATAAACAAGCAAACGAATAAGTGAATAAAGATAAGCAAACAAATATATAAACAAACAAATAAATAAATAAATAAATAGTAATGACACGGCATTGCATCTGCTGCTGTCTGCTGTACATACAAATTATTATTATAATTATAATTATAAATTTTTCTGCTGTGCTAATAACAAAATTATTAAATATAATTTAAGCAGTGGCTGCTTCGGTGTATGCAAACCCTAATATATGTATATATTTATAATATATATTTATATATTTATAATATATATGTATATGCATATATATATGTATATTTATATTTATAAATATTTT